ATTTTGGAATTTTGTTAATCATTGATCACAATGATGTCACAAGATGAAAAGATAAGTTACACGCACGGGCGCATCACTATATTTTAATTGTTCTTCTGTAACATATTTGCCTCCACATGGTACGTACGTACGTACGTACGTACGTAACGTATGTCCGTATGTTATTCGGGAATCTTGATTTGAGTTATGCAAGTGAACAAGGAATTTCATTCAACTACAATATATATCGATATACTTGTATTTATTTATGTTAACTTGTGATATCGGATCGAATACAATCTTCACGCCAATGATGAAAAACATCTTTTTTATCAGGAGTGCGTACGTACGTACAAAATTCCTTTTTTGATTGTTTTTAGATTGAATTTAGAATTAAGATCGATATTAAGGTGGGAACAGATTATCTAAACTTCCCGAGGAATGTTTTCTATCAGAATACGAAAAGTAATTTCATATGCAAGATTGAGAAAAAAAAGTCTTATGTACGGGGTTTCTAACGTTAGGATTCTAGTCTATAACACAGTAACAATAAGTATTACATCTGATCTGATAATTCCATTGGTCAACAATGACGCAAATGCATTATTTCTAACTCTTTTTTTTATATTCATATATCTAGTTATTAAACTTGTTATTAAATAACATATTTCTTTTAGTATTCATAGCCTGTTTGTTTTAATAAAGTTACCCAGATGCTACGTATTCTGGTTTGAAAGTACGTACAATTTTATTACTATTGCTACATACGTACGTACTGATAGCGATATAATGTATCTCTAATTAACCATTATCGCTATTATCTAATATAGTAACAAAAGTTCCCACCTACGACATATATATCATAAATCACCGTAGTGAAAAATAATCACTGGTTAATACAGTATATATTTTCGTTTTAAAATGCAAGTTGTGTATATTTATTGTTTTTAATTGGCTATATAGCTTAAAAAATTTTAAGTTGTACTGTATATTAGCTAAAGATGCTAACATTTTTAAATAAAATTAGGTTTTCTTTGGTTTAAATAAATATTTTCGAAATATTTATTATAAGTATTATAAGTAGCTGTTTTCGAAACACTTGAATTAAAAAAAATTAAAATTTTGATTAAATGCAGCGAATGCTTAAATATTGTGAATGCTTGATTAAATACTAGGAATTCTTGACTAAATACTGTGAATGCTCGACTAAATACTGTTAATACTTTATTATTATTATCAGTTATTATTTGAGACTTCATACTTTATTCGTACGTATATACGTACGTATAATAGCTATACAGTATTTAAAATATTCAAAAAAAAAAAAAAAAAAGTATTCACAGTATTTAAATCAAGCATTCACAATATTTATTTAAAAATATTTTAAAAACAGTAATAAGTCTATTACTATATGCTTAACAACACCTGTTCTAAAATAAAAATAATTTTATACGTAAAACACTATATATATATATATCTGATAGTATAAATTTTAAAACTTCTGGTTAAAATTATAATTAGCGTTAGATTTAAGGTTAGACCATTTTTATTAACATGATTATTTGGAGCAATAATAAGGGGTTATAACCAGTTAGTAAACCTATACGTATGGATAGAAAAAAAATATTTATATAGTAACAAGAAATTTTTTTAATTAAAAACCTAATTTAGTAAAGTGCCTGTATTTATACATTGATATATTTCCTTATGATCATGGTTTTGAAGCAGAGCTAACAGGACCAAGTTATGACTGGATATATCGCGATATTGTATAATGTGTAATGATAATGATAGTGATAAGCAATCGCTTTTTTTAAAAATTCATTAATACTAAAAAATGACATAACTTCAACGCTTTAAGATTCATCATTATTATATATTATATATTTAAAAATTTATATGTCCCCTTTTGAAAAGGGGAATTGACATTAATACCCCCAAATTGGATATTCATACTCCCCTCGTAAATTAAAATGTTTTTAAACCTTTAGCAAAGATGTTTCGACAACCACCAGGCCAAATTCAGTAAACTTGTTTTTATTTGAACTCTACAAATCTGTAGAATCTAAATAAAAAAATAAAAAAAAATCTATTGAATTTGGCATAGCGCTGTCGAGATATCTTTACTCAATGTTTGAGAAAAATTTGGTGCAATTTTTATTTTGATAGTCGTTTTGAGTTTTTGGTTTTTTTTTTAACTTTGAGCAAAAATATCTCGACAACAAATTTGATGAAATAGTTTTTTTTTTTTTTTTCTTGAATTCTACAGATTCGTAGAAATCAATAAAAAAAAAAAAAAATTCATTGAATTTGGCCTGGTGGTTGTCAAGATATTTTCAAAGTTTGAGAAAAATTTTGACGTAACCTAGAAGTTAAGCTTTTTTAAAACTTTGAAAATATCTCGATAACCACCAGCCCAAAGTTAACGATTTTTTTTTTTCTATTCGAATTCTATGAATCTATAAAATTTAAATAAAAAAAAAGTTCATTGAATTTGATTTGGTAAATATCGAGATATTTTGCTTAAGTCTATTAAAAAAAAAAAAAAAAATTTAATTTATGGGGTATAAACATCAATTCCTTTGAAAAATTGCCAAATTTTCTATCATTATTGTAATTAATCATATTTTACCAACCTATGTCTACGATATAATTTTTCGCTGTCATATGGAGTAGTCCATTCACTCCAGGCAATGAATTCTGATTAGTACTAAAAAAAAAACGATTGAATTCACTATTGTCGTAAATTATAAAAGTTTTTATACGTTATAGTTTTTGTGAAACGGTCTCATTTTCCTGTTTACGACGGTATTCTTTCAGATTTAAACTTTGATAGCTGTATTACAAGAATCAACTTTAACACTACTACAAATTACGTTCATAACACTAAATACTCAACAAAGTCATTAACAAAGGGCTGTTTGTCACCTCTATGAAAAACATTTGTGCCAATACTTTCATAACTAATCCGAACGCCATTATTCCGAATGATTTGAAATAATCTATGTCCAGAAACACTATTTTTTTTAAAAAAAACAATAATCAGGTGATAATGATATGGATAAAGTAAGGAATGCTCTCTTAAGGTACCTGCGAGCGCCTCAATGTTTGATGTCAAAACTACGACATTGATCAGCCATGAGAACTCCAATTGATTATAATCCCAAATTACCATTGAAATTATTAATATTTTCCCAAAACTGGATATTATTAGTGCCATCGTGATATAATTGTATCTTTATTAAAGAAAACTTTAACTGTTAGCAATTAGGTTTTGATCTAGTTATATGAAATGTTAAAAATTTAAAAAATTTTAAACTTACTTGACTATAGCATATTTATCACTGATGTAAAGAAATACTGCCAATCTTATACCAAATTGTAAAACGATAAATTCTAGATAAACCAAAGGAACTGAATTAGGAAACTGATCTATACAACTTTCATAATTGTTTTTTTTTTTTTAAATACCTATTATGCATAAAAACAGGATATACAGATACTGAAGAAATAATGGTTGCTCAATAAACGGAATGTTTGAAACTGTATAATATTTTTCTAATCGAAACCATTTGATGTCTTTTTTTTAATTTGTAGAAAATCGGAAGTTAAGGTTTAATATATAAATGACCAGAATAAGCGATGTCTATTTTTATTTCGAGGTTTAAAAAAATTTTTTGTATTTTTTTGACTGTTAATTGTGGATAAAAGGATACACACATCAAAAAGTATTAGTAATATTCCAAGTTTGAGCACATTTGGCTTATGACAAAAAAAAAGTTATCTTTCAATTCATAATAAAAATTATCAATCTAAACTTACATCAATTCCATGATCTCTGTATTCTAATCTATTGAATAACAAATGACGATATACTTGTGGTTTATGTAATAACATATCGATAAAAATTATTACAAAATCATGCTCCACATATTTGTCTGCAAATTTATTGCACTTTTCCTAAAGATTCATAAATAAAGTTAAGCATGTAAGCCAGTAAGAGATTCACGGCAAAACAGTAAAAAGTGTATAAAACGAAGGGAAAATTATATTAAAAGTACGCGATATGCGCAAGGTGTTGAGAACTAGCAAAAAAAAACTTACACAATGAGTAAGTCTTATAATTCCTGTACTATACTCTGTATATAAGTTTGCTACAGGCACTCCACATTCTACACAGATTGGCATCTCAGAATTATTAAAACTAAATAAAGATGGTAATTTCGAAATTTATGTTACATTGATTTTCACTCGAGAATTTTATCTATCATTATCTGTATTACTTGCATTATCTTTTTATTATTAATTAAATCACCTGACATTTTTAAATCATATCTATCCTACTACTTTCATTAATAACATTAACAATTTTTTTAACGATTTCCACATCATTCTTATCATTCTTGGAACTTTCATAATCAATCCAAAATTTTTTTTGTACAGGAGGCTTAATCCCTTTTTTCTTACAAAAATTCAAATACTTTTTTTTTACACTCCATGTAATAGAACTTTGATTCATTGGATTTAAATGTCGTAATTCTACAGTTGTAAGTTTAGGTAATGCGAATAAAGACCTAGTTTCTATTGTCATTTTTGTATAGGGATTAATTGTAGTTGGTGTAAATAATGTAGGATGTGTTTTAGGTTGGTGAAGATAAATTTTCGTGACATATCGAGAGAAAAAATGGTGAATCACGAATGTTGACGTTGCGCTTGCTATGAATGCTTTTTTTAAGGAGAAAAAAAAAAGCCAAATTATGTAATCGATTTTTTTTTTTTTAAAAAAAAAGAACTTAAGTAGAAGCTTACCGGCTGCCATGAGTTCCTTAGTAATACCAAATGACTTGACTGTTTTTTTCAATCATCAAATTTTAGAATTATGATGTTATTAGACTTTAGTCAGAACTGAAAAATAATTTATCTTACAAGCAGGATCATCCACGTAAAAGAAAGAGATCGGTGCAACGGTACATGCAACCTATTTATTAAATAGATCGTTACTACCTAGTATATATTCGGGATTGCTCGTAAAAAGGGTTAAGAAGTACAGACCCCAAGAAATGATACCGAAATAACCTTTAAAAGTCTGACCAGTCTGAAGTTAGAACTTTCGAACACCAATTTCATGTCATCTTTAACATTGTCGGTTGTGACGTCTTTTGTAATTGTATCATTTTTCGTAATTGCTTGTGTAGAAAACAAAAGGATTCGATTTCCTAGTCTAATTTGTGATGATATTCTGGATGATATTCTGCAATTAGCTGCGATACCAAATGAATCGTGAAATAATAAAATCGTGCGACGGGATGAAAAAGCAAATAATCGCATTTTTTTTTTTTTTTTGAAAACGAAATTTGACGCGTATCAAAATTATCGGACCAATGAAAGTTCATGATCACGATTTTAAGTCGTATTCACGTGACATAGACAATTAACAATATTGTAGGACGAGCCTTTATTTTACAATTACACTTAATATATTCAGCTTTACAAGTTATTGTTAGGAATTACTACTAATATAAAATATAATAAATCATACTTTTTTTTTCTATTTATTAACTAAATATATTTTCATTATTCGTGCCTTAATTCCTTAAATCTGGATGTACAATGAAATCACCCAATCCTTTTCCAGCTGGTACCATAGGATAAACATGTTCGTGTTTCTCTATTATTGCGTCACATACAATGGGTCCATCATATTCTAAAAACTCTGCTATTTTATTAGGTAGTTCTTCTTCAGTACGAATTCTAAGAGCTTTAGCACCCATTGACTATGAAAAATATAATAGATTAGGAGATTAGGAATATATTTATCACGTGATGAAAACAAATATTTAAATGGTAAAAATTTGCAAACCTCTGCTAATTTCACAAAATCCGGATTTACCATCTCAGTTTGACTGTATCTCTCTTCATAAAATAAGTCTTGCCATTGTTTGACCATTCCTTGAAAATCATTATTAAGAATCAATACTTTAACCCCAATATTATATTGAACTGCGGTTGCCAATTCCATTCCGGTCATGCAAAAACTTGCATCACCATCAATGTCTATAACAATCTTATCAGGACAAGCAACTTTGGCACCAATAGCTGCAGGAAGGCCATAACCCATAGTTCCTAAACCACCTGAAGTAATCATAGTTCTTGGATGTCTCCACCTAAAGAATTGTGCTGCCCACATTTGATGTTGTCCAACGCCCGTGGTCATAAGAACCTTTTCCTTATAATCTTGTGTCTGTCGATCCAACTCTTCAATAAATTGTTGCGGTTTCAAAGGCGCGTCTGATTTTGGTTTGGCATATGTCCAAGGATACTTCTTTTTCCATTGATCAATGAGTCCAAACCATTCTTTTCGTTCTGCCTTTTTGATTAATGGTAAAATTCTGCCAAGATTGTCTGATACGTCACCCTCAATTGCTGCAGTAGCTTGAACAACCTTATTAATATTTTTAGGGCTTATTTCAAAATGAATGATACCACCTCTACCCTCTTTTGCTGCTAGTTTAGCTTCTGGTGCAAATTCTATTAAATTCATTTTAAATTAATTTTCTTATCTAATTAATAAAAACAATATCCAGTATTGAATATACATACGAGCCAAGTGACCAGTTACACGATCGTCAAATCTTGATCCCAGACCAATAATAACGTCCGCATTTTGCATTGCCAAATTAGCATAAGCTGAACCATGCATACCTAACATATGTAAGCTGAGAGGATCCAATTCATCAAACCCGCCAAGGCCTTGTAAAGTAGTAGTCACTGGAATATTACCACGAGCAGCCAATTCCCTCATGCGCATTGGTCCTTCTGATGTTGCAAGAACACCTTGACCCGCATATATAACAGGTCGTTTAGAATTGTTGATTAATTCAGCAGCTTGAAGAATAACATGATGATTTGTTACAGAAGAGGCTAAGGCAGGAGATTCATTAAATGCTCGAAACGGAAGTGTATATTGAGTTGGAATAGGCTTTTTAAGCACTGAAGCAGTAACATCTTTGGGAAGATCTACAAGTACCGGACCCGGACGACCGGTGGTGGCGATTTCGAAAGCCTCCGTGATACGACGCGGTAGATCCGCAACATCTTTTACCATTACATTCCACTAATTAAATGGAATATGAATAAAATAAGTTTCCGATAATTTTTAAACCATCAAAAATAACGTATACATATACAATACCTTTGTACATGCACGACTGATACCAACAACATCAGCTTCCTGAAACGCGTCAGTTCCAATGGCGCTAGTAGGTACTTGACCACAAAACACAATTAGAGGCGTACCATCTGATAGAGCGTCTTGCATGGGTGTTATGGCATTCGTTGCACCAGGTCCAGAAGTAACAAGAACAATGCCAGGCTTACCACTGGCTCTCGCGTAGCCTTCCGCCATGTGGCCAGCACCCTGTTCATGTCTCGGCAAAACGAAATTAAAGTGTTTTGAATTATAAATAGCATCAAACACTGGAAGAATTGCGCCTCCAGGATATCCGAATACTTGTTTTACTCCATGACGCAACATCATCTCATGGAAAATTTGGCCACCAGTTAAACCTACAAATGAATTATCATAGGCTGGAGTTGTGGGAGAAGGCGTGGGCTTAGGAGGTAATGGAATTTGTGTTTTACGCGGTTGTGGGGGTGGAAGATAAGTCGTTTGAGGCTGGGGGTGGTGTGAAGGACTTTAATTTCAACAAATGAATGTATATTAGAATTCATTGATAACAAATAAATAAAATTCTTGATTCAAAATGAGAATTCTAATTATCTAAAATATTTTTTACCTTATAGCTGTAGCCTTCCACCGTCGTTGGTAACCATTTGATGCAGCAAACGCGAATGCTGTATTTCTTACATTATATATTTTCGTACATGTTCCTGAACAAGTTGAAGTCGTACTCCGTAGATACGTGGAAAAAACGCGAGTTTGGTTCATTTTTACTATTTTTACTTTATCAGAATGCGAATCGAATTTAAAAATTAATTTGGGTTGTTGAGGGGATAATTTTCTTATTTAAATATTAACGGTGAGTCAAAATTTTTTTTTTTATAAAAAAAAAAATTTTTTTGGTACTTTGTAACACTGCAGTGCAAATAAGCTTTTGGTGTTACATAAAATAACCAACTAATGAGTGAGTCATAATTGTACTACTCAATTTGTGTAACAATGCAGGGACGGAAAATTATTAACATAAACTAGAAAACGGAAACCGTTTTTTTTTTTTGTTGTACTACTGCGAACCTTCCTCATTAGTTTTTATACGACCTGGACATTTCCCCAGCTTTTTTTTTTTTAACAATCCGGGCACTGCTTTCAGTTATGATTTTTTTATATAACTCACGTTATCTTGGGTTTAAGTTATTAATTTAACAGCGGCGATTAGAAATAATATAGCAAACAAAAAAAGTTAAATTATTATAAAAAACTTAAAAGGCCTTAATTACCAACCTTTTCCCCGCACAGGCTTTTTTAAATTATTTGTTCTAAGGATGATTTTAATGGCACGTATATTTTTAAAGTCATTGTAGTTGGGGTTAGTGTTTGGACTAAGGTTAGATATTAGGCAATTATATAGTAAAATCGCTCAAGGAAAACTTTTTGTTAGAGCACTAAAGGTGATTTTTGAGAAATAAGCGATATCTGCGCCACAATGATTGACAAAACCTGTGTGCCAGGTTTGTGGCGCAACAAAAAACCTTTAAAGTTCGTTAATGTTAAGGTTAGTAGTAAAATCGTTTAAGGAAAAGTTTTTGTTAGAGTACTAAAGCTGGTTTCTTATGCAGATTTTTGAAAAATATGCGATTTTTGACTAAATGTATGTTTATTTTGAATTTTTCTAATTATATTATATTACATCTGATTTTAAAATCTGATTTGCAATATGTGTTACAGTTGTGTCACAAACCTGGTATACATTTCTGATATGCTATAGATTTAGTAATGCAAATGGCTTGGCTCAGCTTAGCTCATGGCTTGCATTAATCTAAAAAATTTATCAATAATAATTTTGATAAATCATTTTTTGGTATATAACATAACAGTTAACTGATTTGTTACATCTAAATTTTTTATATATAAAATTATAGCAAAAACATATAGAATTACTTATAAAATAAGGGGGTATATAGTATTCTCGCTTGGTTAATAGAGTAATCACATAGGTACAGAGGGTTTAAATAGATAACCCCTTAGTTGGGTTATAAATATAACATTTAGTATAGAACTTAGTAATAAGCAGATTACTTAAATAGATAACCAAAAGTTGTATATGTGACTAGTTGTATTCTCCAAAGATATATACAGTATAAAAATCATACTGTAAAAATTATAATTATAATTAAATAAAAGGAACGTGACCAAGAGATCATTTTAATATCAAAAAAAAAATTACTTATAAATTTTGATACTATAATATTTTTTTTCTTATATATTAACTTTAAATTAAATTTTACAAATAAATACATCATAAAAAAGGAATAAAATATTTTCAAAACTAAATTAAAATTTTGTAATTTTTGTATAATTTAAAAATATAACTTTGTTAAAAGAAAAAATTTATTAGTTTTAAAGTAATAATTATATATAAAATTATACCCTAAACAATTCTAATTAGAAAGTTAAAAAGGTTATCTTAGTATAAAAAAGTTTTCTATGTACTAATATCAAAATTTTCTGTTTTCTACTATATGTGTGCTACAAAGCAAAAATTTGTAACTGATTATTATGATTTACTATATTCAGTTACAAGTTTTTGTTTTGTAGTACTTATATAATATATATATTATACTAGAGCAAATGTATTTAATAATTTAAATATATTTAGTTATTTTTATTATATCAATATTCTTCTAAAAAACTTTTTTGTATTCTGATATATTCTTCTTGATTTTTAAATAATTTTACTAAAATTCTTTCTACTATTTTAAGTAATATTTCTTTTTTTTCAATATATACTATTAACTCTTTCTGCTAATCTTCTAGATACAAATTTATCTTAAACAAAAAATTAACAAAATACATATTTTGCTAAAGAAAATATAGTCTGTAATACTAAGTAAAAAAAAAATATATACAAAATAATATCTAGTCTTTTAGAAAATAAAAGTTAAAAAGTTAAAGCTTTAGATAAAAAAAAAAAAAACAGCAAAGAAATAATGAAAATTTGTTCTTTACAAACAATTTTTAAAAAATTGTACTTGACCCTATATTGCAAATCTGCTGTTATTATACAAAATAAAACATATGTTTAGAAGTAAACAAAATAATCTAATTATGAATTATGTGATAGATATAAATAAAAGAACAGTATTTAGAAAGTCAAGTACTAAAGAAAAAGAAAATTCTAGAAAACAAACAAAACTGCAAAAATATTAGATAAATCAATAGAAAATTATTTGGAAAAACTAAAGCTTTATAAAGACTAGATAGTTAATCTTAGAAGAAAAAAAAAAAGAGCAACAAGCACTTCAAAGAAAAATTATAGAAGAGAGTTTAATCTAATAACTTGGATAAGAAAATTTACCTTTTCTAATACAGAACAATAAAAAAAAAAATAAGAAGAATTTAGAAATTTTAATAAATATAAAGATATTTGAAATGATACAGTAGAAGATTATACAGTAAATTTCATCTAAAGCCAACATATTTTTTATATAGGCGCCAATTTTTTAGCTGCAGTGTAATCTAATTATCCAATAAAAATGCAGAAAAACTTAATACAATTTTAAAAATTATT